AAGCGCTGCTGCGCAAAGTGATGCAAGGTGACGCCATCACGCGCGATTGGCGCGGCAATAGGAACGTCAGCATCAACTAATTCTGCAGCAAATTGGTGTTCTTCCAATATTTGTGCATCTGTCCAACGTTGTGGCCGGTAGAACTTCACCACATACCGTTTGCCGTCATCGGCTCTAAATTGATACACCCGATTTTCATAGCTATTAAGCGCCAGCAAGCCTGAGTCTGCATAAATTCCGATACTTTGTAGTGCATCAAGCTGCAAGTCGGGGGTCAGTGCGGTGAAATGAAATGCGTCAGCCATTATCAAGGCTCCTCAAACAACAACGCCCGGTATGTCCGGGCGTTTTATCATATCAGTCAGACCTTACCGACTACCAAAAAACTTACTGTGTTGCTGCAGGCTGATGTCCGCATTGTCTTTATTGACAATGGTAAACTCAATTTCAGTGGTTGGTTTGGTCAGCTCGCTCGGATCCACGGCCAAGCTGATCGGAACGTTAACCGTATCGCCGGCAGGAATAGCCACTGTGGTTTCGCCAATCCATTGCAGGTTCGGGATGCCAGTGACCGCCAGTTGATACGTTTGTGGTTGTTGCGACTTATTGATGATTTTTAAGGTGTACGTGTTTTCCACTAAACCATCGTCAGTCTCGCGCGACAAGGCACCACGGTCACGCACTATATCCAACTCAACCGGTTTACGCTGATACAAGTTAAAGCCAAACGCGCCTAACACCACCAGCATGACCATAAAGTAGCCGATCAGTTTCGGCCGCAGCACTTTGGTCGGTTTACCGTTTAAGCTGTGCTCGGATGTATAGGAAATCAGCCCTTTGGCGTATCCCATCTTGTCCATAGTATCGTCGCAGGCATCGATACAGGCTCCACAGTTAATGCATTCGTATTGTAAGCCGTTACGGATGTCGATGCCGGTTGGGCAAACCTGAACGCACAAATTACAGTCAATACAATCACCTAAACCTTTTTGTTTGTATTCAGTGTCTTTGCGAGAACGCGGGCCGCGGCTTTCACCACGTTTTGCATCGTAGGTGACAGTGAAGGTGTCTTTGTCAAACATGGCCGATTGGAAGCGTGCGTATGGGCAAATATGCGTACACATAATGTCGCGCATCCAGCCGGCATTACCGTAGGTACAGAACATAAAAATCAACACAAATACATAGGACCAGAACGTCGCATTCAAGGTGAACACATCGCGTAATAAGTCCAGCATCGGCGTGAAATAGCCAACAAACACCAAGGCGGTCCACAGGGAGAAACTTAACCACGCCAAGTGGGTTAGAGATTTTTTGACGATTTTGTCTTTCGTCCAAGGCGATTGATCTAATTTGATGCGCTGATTACGGTTGCCTTGGATTTTTTCTTCGAACCAAATGAAGATAAAGGTCCAAATGGTTTGCGGGCACATGTAACCACACCAAACGCGGCCGTAGAAGGTGGTGACAAAAAACAACGCGTAGGCACCGATCATGAAGATCCACATGATGATGGTGAAATCTTGTGGCCATAAGGTCCAACCAAAGATATTAAATTTTTGGTTGCCGATATCGAGGAGCACCGCTTGATGACCATCGTATTGCAAGAAGGGGATTAACATAAACATGGCCATAAAAATGAAACCCATGTTACGTCGCAGTCGTTGGTGTAACCCTTTCATCGCCCGCACGTAAATCGTGCCTTTTTCGGCAACAGTCGCTAACTCATCTGGATTGGGGTAATGCATATCCACTTTGACGGGAATGCGTTCATCATGCTCAGCCACGAGATACCTCTTTTTATTGTGCTGTAATTAGTTACAGTCGAGTAGGTTGCCAGTATAGCAGCATTAACACTGAATTCGGCGGTGCTTTTCTGCAGCAATTGCGGCAAACTTGACTTGCTTCAAACAAATTATCCGTTGCCGATATTTCATATATAAGTAAAAACTTATGTATGATAGGCTGCAAGGCCTTGCTGCTCGCGGATTTCGATTGTTGGCTGGACGAGATCTGCGACTCAGGGTACATTGGGCGCTGAAAAAAACGGGCAGGTCGACGCAGTTCGTCGATAGAGGTCATCATGAAAAAGGCGTTATGGATTATCGTGTTAATACTCGCAGTGGCTTCATTTTCGGATCATCCACTGCTCAAACCATACAAAGAAATGCTGTTTGAGATTTTGTCATCCAAAGCCGAAAATGCCACCCAAATGCAAGGGAGTCAAACCTTGCGGCAGGTTAAACGCGAGTTGTTGCCGCAGGTACGCGATCTTGGCGCTGGCCAGCAAGCAGAAATTGAACGCGTGACCGCAGATTTAGCGACATTGCGAGAGTTTTACCAAAGTTACTGCATCGACAAGCAGTTTAATCCGCAATTCTACGGCGAGAGTATCGACAATATTTGCCGTGTCATCGATCGCCACAAGCTAGCATTGGACATCTAAAAAGGTGGTGTAAACCACCCTTTATTCGATTTTTTTGACGACGACCGCAGGTGTATCAAGCGTCAGTGAACGCTCGTTGACGCTGAAAATCAACTGGCGTATCAATTTCGATTTTGACATCCCGGTGTCGTGGCTTAACTGATTCAGCAGATCGATCGCTTCTTGGCTCAGTGTAAAGGTGGCATGTCGCATCGGGCCGTGGTTGAGGCTCGCGGCAGGTGCAGCCAACTCAGCCACCACCGTTGCGATGGACGTGGTTCCGCTAGATGGCGTGCCCATCGCGTAATGTTCGGCATCCGCGATAAACTCTTCAACACTGAGTCGTCTGTTAGTCGATGGTGTTGAATTTTTTTTCAGGTCGGTCAATGCCATCTTCTTGGATCGCCTTCATAGCTAACAACTCAGTAATAATGTCTTTAATTTCGCTGGCCGCTTTTCCATCCGGCTCAGTATCCATCACTGACATTCCCCGTTCTTCACTATCGTCGTAGATGTTGCGACTAAAGGTGACTGCATTGAGTACTCGCAGGTTATAGGACCGTACAACGTCTTTGGCTTCGAGAATGCGAGTGGCTTGGTTCGGTAACGACGGACATTGAGTCAATACACAGGCGACTATCATGTCGGGGTTAACGACGTTACAGTTACTGACCAAATCTTCTAAATGTTCGAGTGTTTTTAAATCGCGCCGTTTTGGCCGCAGCGGCAACAAGACATGCGACGCAACAGACATGGCTGAGCGCAACGCTACGCTATCTTGGCCACCACAATCGACGATCACATAGTCGTAATGATGTTCCAAGCTCTTTAATTCATAACGAATTTTACCGTACATCTGCACGCAATTAATCCACTGTACGTTCGGTGATAGGTGGCGTTCTTGCACCCAATCGGAGGTAGTACGTTGCGGATCACAATCGACCAGAATGACATTGGCGTTTTTTAGGCTGGAAAAGTACACCGCAATATTTTGCGCCAAACAACTTTTGCCACTGCCGCCTTTTTCACCACCCACTAACAGAATCATGGAACATCCCTCTTATTCACGACCAAAACAATTCAGCACTGCTGTTGCAGAACTGCAGGTTGCTGGCTGTGGGGAAAACCACAGCCAAAGTTCAGTGTAGGTCAGAACGAGTGCGCAAGCCAGTGACACTCAGGCGTCGACTTGCACTCGAATAGTCGCAGCAACAGATTTTGCTTTTGCAACTGCGTCGTCAACCGTTGGCGCGAGCGCGAGGGCCACACCTAAGCGACGTTCGCCTTGGACCTCCGGCTTACCAAACAGTCGCACTTCTGTATCTGGATCCGCCAATGCCTGCGCCAGTTGATGGTATTGCATTTGTTGCGAATGGCCTTGTACCAGCAACACCGCAGAGGCCGCTGGACCGTATTGCTTAATCTGCGGGATAGGTAACCCAAGAATAGCTCTGGCATGCAAGGCAAACTCAGACAGTTGTTGAGAAATGAGTGTCACCATGCCGGTGTCATGGGGGCGCGGTGAGACTTCGCTGAACCACACCTCATCACCTTTGACAAACAATTCGACACCGAACAAACCTCGACCGCCTAACGCATCGGTGATTTGCTTGGCATATGTTTGCGCTTTGACCAATGCCGCTGCCGACATTTGTTGTGGTTGCCATGACTCACGATAGTCGCCGCGTTCTTGCCGATGGCCTATGGGCTCACAAAACACAGTGTCTTGCCCTGTTCTGACGGTTAGCAAGGTGATTTCGTAGTCAAAATCGACAAAACCTTCCACGATCACGCGACCTTTCCCAGCACGACCACCTTCTTGTGCATACGCCCATGCGTGCGCTAAATCGGCGTCACTTTTAAGGACAGATTGCCCTTTGCCACTGGACGACATGATTGGTTTAACCACGCATGGATAGCCGATAGCGGCTACAGCGGCTAAATACGAGGTATGGTCATCAGCAAACTGATAGCGCGATGTCGGTAAGGCCAATTCTTCAGCGGCAAGGCGGCGAATGCCTTCGCGATTCATGGTTAAATTTGCCGCGCGTGCCGTTGGGATCACCGTAAAACCTTCTTTTTCCAACTCAAGTAAGGTGGCTGTCGCAATGGCTTCAATTTCAGGCACTATATAAGTGGGCTTTTCTTTAATAACGAGCTGACGCAACGCGGCATCATTGAGCATCGAAATGACATAGTGCCGATCGGCCACTTGCATGGCTGGCGCGTTGGGGTACCGATCTACGGCGATGACCTCGCAGCCATAGCGCTTGAGTTCGATACAGACTTCCTTGCCAAGTTCGCCTGAGCCCAGCAGCAAGACCTTAGTCGCCGTGCTGCTGCCTGGTGTTCCAATGACGGTATGCATGATGTATTCCTGTGGTTACACAAACTAATTTGCCTGCTAGATTACCGGTCCGCGTGACAATTTCAATACAAGGGCCGCTGCGAAGACGATATCTTGTGTCCAGTTCAACACGCAAAAGTTCAGATCTGCGTTACAGCGGAGCTTGTTTTAGCTCGCCGAGCCAGTATAATGAGCGGCTATTTTTAGTGCATAGCGCATTAAAATCTTAGGGGCATAGTTCCAATTGGTAGAACAGCGGTCTCCAAAACCGATGGTTGGGGGTTCGAATCCCTCTGCCCCTGCCAATTTTGACTGCGGACCAAGCAGGGTTCGGGTCCATAAACAGCCTTTGATAAACGGCACCTAGAGTGAGTTTAAGCATGAATGCAGTAACAGAAACGCCAAAAAGTGGTTTGGATTTAGTAAAGTGGTTAGTCGTTTTTGCGATCCTGGCTACCTTGGTTGGCGTGAATAATTATTTCGAATTATCAGCGTTGCCGCGTGCAGTCGCATTGTTTGTTGCCATTCCTTTAGCTGGTTTTATCGCCGCTCAAACCACCAAAGGCCGCGAATTCTTGGTTTTCGCAAAAGAAGCCAAGTTGGAAGTGCGCAAAGTGGTGTGGCCAACTCGCCAAGAAACCAACCAAACCACCATGATTATCGGCGTTGTCACGCTGATCATGGGTTTGTTGTTGTGGTTATTAGATGCGGGCCTGTTGAAAATTGTTTCATTCTTAACCGGATTAGGGGTCTAAACCATGTCAGGAAAAATGCGTTGGTATGTCGTGCAGGCATTTGCCGGGTTTGAGCAACGTGTTGCTACGTCGCTGCGCGAACACATCAAGATCCATAGCATGGAAGAGAAGTTCGGCGAAGTTTTAGTACCTACCGAAGAAGTTGTGGAAATGCGCGGCGGTCAGAAGCGCAAATCTGAACGTAAATTCTTCCCAGGCTACGTGTTAGTGCAAATGGAAATGTGCGAAGAAGCATGGCACTTAGTAAAAAGCGTGCCACGCGTTCTAGGGTTCATTGGTGGTACGTCAGACCGCCCAGCGCCAATTTCTGAAAAAGAAGCCAACACGATTCTAAACCGTTTGCAAGACAATGCAGACAAGCCAAAACCAAAAACGTTGTTCGAAGCGGGCGAAGTGGTGCGTGTTACCGAAGGTCCATTTGCCGACTTCAACGGTGTGGTCGAAGAAGTCGACTACGAGAAAAGCCGCGTCAAGGTATCAGTGCTTATTTTCGGCCGTTCAACGCCAGTCGAACTGGAATTTGGTCAAGTCGAAAAAGCTTAACGGTGAAATATCCGTTGTCACGGGCCGCTGGTTAAAATATAATCGCGGCCTTTTTTAACGTCAGGGGAGCCGTTTGAGTAAGTGTCCTCGCACTTACGAGGCTAAGACCCTATAAAGAGGTGTAACATGGCTAAGAAAGTCACGGCGCTTGTAAAATTACAAGTTAAAGCTGGTATGGCAAACCCATCACCACCAGTTGGTCCAGCACTGGGTCAACACGGTGTGAACATCATGGAATTCTGTAAAGGCTTCAACGCCCGTACAGAATCTCTGGAAAAAGGCATGCCAATCCCAGTAGTGATCACTGTATACAGTGACCGCTCATTCACATTTGAAACCCGCACACCACCAGCATCATTCCTGTTGTTAAAAGCAGCTGGTTTGAAAGGTGGCTCAGGCCGTCCAAATACACAGAAAGTCGGTAAAGTGAC